ATATATGATATGGGATAGTGGATGAAGCCTATCGTAAATTGTGTGTTTCAAGGGCACTAAGATTTATACTGGATGATATACTCTGGGTAGGACTGATCGTTGTCAAAGGTAATAAACATCTTTGGGTTCGACTCGTCATCTACGAAGGAGTCGTAGTAAAGATTACTGGCTCCATTCCAAGGTTGCTTCTGGGACGGTCTGTTATATGTGGGGTTACCTTTCACATACGAACCTACGAGGACTTTGGCGAAGAACATAGATCGAGTCAAATCTGTATCTACTTTTGCGTAATGGTGGCTACGGGATGCTTTCACTGCATATACCAAAACAGTGAGATAATATACACCAACAAAAATTGATTTTAATTCATACATTTCAGCAAAGATTCCAACATTTTCACGCGCGGAAAGGATTGAGGTTACGCAAGATTAATTTGCATTTGTAAAAAAAAACCTTTCTCATTGGTTTTGATCGATAAACTCCGGGTTTATCGCTTTTTTATTTTGTGTTTTCAGGGACTGCTGCTTCGTTAATTTGAGTGATTTTTTCGCTTGTCACGGATGCAAACTGGGAAGCCATTTTTTCCAGAGTTGCTCAGAGGTAAATAGCAAAGGATACTCGGAGTTTGACTTGCCAATCAGAGCGCGTCTTTAACGCTATCCACTGTTGTAGTATATACCAACAACTGATATTTGATTAGATAAAAGGGATAGTATGGTGATGTATATGGCTTCGAAATTTAAAACTATTGCAAGTGATATTTAATCAAATACAAAGGAAAGCACTGTTGTTCAGAAAAAATGACAAAAATTTTAGGTTGATTTTCGTCGTCAACACAAGAATCATACATATCACCTGCCGGATTGCTCGGATCCTTCAATGGCGGTCGGAGAAAGCTTTGCTTTCCACTCTTAAATTCTCCTGTCAACACTTTTGCCAGAAACATGTATCTCGTTTTCTCTTCATCAGGATTGCTATAGCTCTTGCTGAAAGATGCGTCCACAGCAAAATAGCTTCCTTGCCCATACTTTGTCCCATTCTTCCCACGCACTCTGTGATCAAAATTGTGTGTGCATATGGCATCAACAACATCTGGTGTAGTACCATGGAACAACAACTTTTCACGGGTAGGTTTTTGTCTGTCCTTCATATATTGGAGCTTGCTGGATAAAGAAGAGAACAGTAAAAGAGCTTAGCTAATGACTATCCACGTCCAAAAGCCCGCTTTGTGCACTCATTATATTCTTTTCACGCGGCAGAAATAACAGGTAAGATTAACTTTGTAAGAAAGTTGATACCCACACCCTAGGCTTCATCGAACTACAAAAAATTATTTACGAACGGGTTCACAAGTCACATTATTTTTCCTTCCTATTAGCCCTTCCTCAACAATTACCTTTTGTAATTTCGGGATAAATGGTCATTTTTTATTTTTTCCACCCTCATAATAGAGGCCTTGTGCTCCGGCACTGTTTTGTGGAAGCGTCGACTCACATCTCGGTATTCTTTGCAGTCTTTTTCCAGATTAGTCCGTTCAAAGATCGTAGCCTGACCTTTCGGAATTCTACAATGTTTAAACATGGAGAAAAAAGACGTACGTTAGACGGGATCCAGAGTCCTTGAGTCCTAATGGAAGGGTCAAGGTATTTCTAGGCACCTTTTTGACGTTTAAGATCCATCAGAAATAAATCTAAAGTCGACAAATTAGACATTTTCGATGTCCCACACACTTTCCCCAACCCCCTTCGTCAAGGACTAAAATTACTGAATAGAAGAACAAGTCAAGGGTTTTAATGGCGAACTATTCAGCCTACGTCAAGTTCTCCGTTAGTCACAAGAGAGATCAACAAACCAATCAGAATCCTTTGTTTAGGGGGTACTGGAGGGACATCATTCTATGCGTTCACACTAGATGTTACCTTTGCGGCTTATTTTAATAAAAAACTTGCCTTAAGCGCGATAAGGAACTGTTTTACCCTGATTGGGAATACAGCGACCCATACCAGGACTATAACATACGTAACAAGCGATTTCAAAATCTTAAAGCACGTGGGAATAACTCACGTGATATTACGTAACAAAACAACCGGAAATGAAAATAACGAAACGGAATTAAAATGGTAGCCACACTAAATGATCAAATATTTTAAAATATGGCGTCCGCGCGGCCGACCTTCAAAATTTTGAAGTCGGATTTTTCGTTCCTTTGCGACCGAGTTAGACCTTGTGGCACTCAGTATATAAAGTAGCAATGGAATAAAATACTCTGCTTGGAAAATAATGGATGTCAAGGTCCTAAAGGTGACAGAATAAACAAACTCTCGAGTTAGCGACAATACGATTCTCTTAAGCGATTCGAATTGTGGCCGTAAACCGAAAACCGAACTTTCGGACTTGAAGCAGGGCCTAACGACAATTTGACGACTCCATTGCCAGGTAAATATTACGTTCGACTAACTATGGTGTTTCCACCATATAACAGCAAATCAATCAATCAATCAATCAACTTTATTCAACGAGGGTAGGCACGGGACAGTGCTTCAACTGAGTAACTAGTGGCCCTCAAACTAAATTTGTAAAACAAAGTTAAGTAACAAAATACATGTCGTAAAGAAAGGAAGTATAAGTGTATGTAAGAATTGATTTGAATAAAACTGTCGTTTCGAAATCATCTCTTGGTCATTTTCGTCTTGCTTCCTATTAATAGATACCATGAAACTTGAGATTCCTCACACACGGACAAATTTATGTAATTCACTTTGAAATTTGATCCCCGTNATCAATCGCAGAACAAATAATCGCAGCAACGCGACAGATAAACTCCTTTGGGGTGGGCAAATATTCCCTTGGCGGAGCAAATAATCACAACAGTTCGACAGAAAACTTGCAGGAGACGAAAAACTGCGATCACGATCGCCGACTCGAGATATGAAAATCGAACGATATCGGAGGGGAGTTCCGAGCATTATCCGAAGGTTTCTATTGTTTTGAATATATGGAAGGACTTATACTCTGGATAACATAGTATCTACGACTTCACAGAAGTCCGTAGATGCAAAAAGGAGTTAAGATCGGGGAAATATATCTGATCAAAATCGGTAGAGTTCGTTGTGGGCTCGGATTCTATTGTTACACTCCGTTACTCAGAAGGACAGCATAGTAGCTTACGCCTCTAGGCAGTAAGCTTCAAAAAGGATGAATAATATCTGCATTGCTTCTGACTGCAAAAATCTTGCGAAAGTTGCAGTTCATTTGAATCGAATTCATGGAGATCTGATTGATAAGCAAAAATACTGAACAGACCATCCACTTATAAGTGACTGTCAATTACTAAAATCGTCATCATTATTATCATCATCACCCTTATTATTTTTCGCCTTTTCACCGATTGAAAGCCTAGTTCCGTCCCGGGAAATCTTCTAAAAGAACTAGTTTCTCTTTCAGTGACTTGTCAAAGAAAATGTGTAATTCTCTAATTAGACTACATTCTGCGTTCACCCACCTCTTTGTAGTCTGCATAGTTGATTCCGAAACAAATATTGGTCTTCTTCTGACGACCCCTGCACGTTGAACATCTGGGTCTGATGTCTTTTGGTACATATCGTCCCCTTCAAAATGTATCATGTAATCTTTCCCACCGATTTGAAATAAGTAACTAAGGTCTCCATTTAGATACGAAGCTTCTATTTGCTCTTGTTTTGTCCCAGAACAAAGCTTAGCAAAGAAGTTTAAAGACTTTTTGAGTTGGGAACATCTCTAACCATGAAACCTCATCCCCAGGATTTGTCTTTTTATTTTCCTCTTACGCTATCATATGCAATTCTTATTTTTCATCTTGTTCGTCAAACTCGAGTTTATTTTTCGATTGAAAGTCTGCTCCTTTGCCTACTTTAAGTATAGAGGTAAGGGGATGTAAATCAGTAAAGCAAACATAATTTGAAACCGTGCAATTCCACTGCAATACAAAATAAACAATTAAAACAAATCGAGACAGATACCATTGCTTAATCATATTGTTGCGTGCATGGCAGTAACCGCTACTTACATCCGTTTCATCATATTTCTTCCACTCACTGATGTCTTCCCAATACCAAACCCACTGTGTAGGAAAGTTGCTGTCACGTTCTTTGATGTAAGACGGTGTTGAGCATCGACGGATGAAAAAGTGGTTGGAGTTCAAGCTCATGGACGTGGTATGAAAGTTGGCTGATATCTTTACTGGTCGCTTTCTTGAATGTCTGAAAAGAAAAGAGAAAGAATGGCAATAGTTTCGCCTGTTCCAAGCGTTATGTCAGTAAGTTGCAGTGGTATTGGTCTGGGTGCTAGCTCAAATTGGCGCTGCGCCACGAGCGGTGAAATGCACCTTGTTTCTGGTACAGACATTAGTTCCAGTCCTCTCGTTTTCCTCCTTTGCTCTTTTGTCGTACCACTGTGAGCCTGCTAGCAGGCTGAGGCGCTTTTATACAACTGTTTCCAATATTTTTTCGTTTCTCCTCGCCTCATTCTGCGTCGCCTGTACAATCACGCCGCACAAATGATAATAGGGACTTTAAGATCCAGCAACGCAATGGACGTGACTAAAGCTGACCGGAAGTAAAAAGACCAAAATGATTACCACAGCGCATAATCGTGACGTAAACAAGTCGCGTCCTTGCTCAAGACGAACGCGCTGGATGGTATTTTAACGTTGTCAACAAACTGTAAGTATTTCCACTTATTCCAGGTACAGAAACACAGTGAATTGGCACTTTTTCTTTGTATATCGAAAACTTTGTCATCCCGGCTGCAATCGCCATTTTTTTTTTTTGTATTTTCTTGTCAGGCTCACTTATATTTCTGAACAAAGTCAGTTGGCATGGCCTCAAACTCCAAACCGCAGTGAGTAGATTCTTGCGGAATTTGAAGAACAGCGTCTACCAGAGGATTGTGGTGCTTTTCCACCTGAAGTTAGCTCTGATACTCTGCTTCACTTTGGCTCTCTAAATTGAACGGTGGGTAGTTGTAGTATGGAAAATCCAAGTTTTCTGAACTGTTTTCTTCAAAAAGCAAAGCATATTCTTCAATCGTAAAATTTCGCGAGTTTCCTTAAGAGTCGCCATTTGCACTGAAAACACTACTATAATCGGTTTCTCTTAGTTCCGAAATAAAGTAATTTCCCTACTCTTTTTATTCTATCCGTGGGTAGCCGCGTTGTTGAATTCCGCCATCTTAGCTTAATTTTCCCGCCACGAACACGGCGTCCTCGACACAGGCCCCACGCGGTCCCACGACGTCTGCGTTGTTGGATCTTAAAGTGCCTAATAACTAACCGAAGCCTTGGCACAAGTTTCAGAGGCAATAGAACCTACGGGATGTTACTGAAGTATTTTACAAACTTAAAGTTTTCCCGAGAAATTACTGCAAGCTTCCGTGGAGCATCTGTGGTATTCATTTTGGCAGTATTCTTCTCTAAATCAACTCGCTCTAAACCCTCAGGTAAAACATTCAAATGGTCAAAGATTTTGGAGATCTCTGTTCTCTAGATTGATCATTTTGAAGTAAATTTCTCCGAGGTTTCTGGCCAAAGGTATAGAAAATTATCTCTTTCATAAGCATATAAATTCGTTATCCAGTTATGTTCACTTTTACCGTAAATCAATTCAACAGTGCATCTAAATCTGTCTTTTTACTTACTTTATTGTGGTGTCTTTAAGTTCTATGTCGACTTCCACATTTTCGACGTCACAGTAAAGCTTTTCCAGATCAACATTATCAGAAGAGCCGAAATTTCTCCAGGAATCTGCTTCTTTGAACTGCCAGCGGTATCTTGTAGACTCACTAACGCCGACAAGGGATGTAGCTGCGATTTTTGAAGGGTAGCACGAAAATGTTATTTTATTTGAAGGGATAGAAAAATACAGAGCTTGAACTGGTAGACCTATTTGGAACATCACAAGCACAAGTTATACGAGTACAGTAATGCCCACGAAGTCTTAAGCGATACTTAAACTTAAAAAGGAACCCAGAAATATCAAAATAGAGCAGTAGTTTGTGAATTTAATCCGAATG